ACTAACTAAGTAAAGATCCGGAACATAACATGAACTTGAACTTGATAAGGAGGGGCTAGACTAGAGGAAGCACATGCACAAAGAGAAGAGATCAACAAAGTAAAGATYYGGAACATGAACTTGACGAGGAGAGGCTAGACTAATGGAAGCACATGTACAAAGAGAAGAGATCAACTAAGTAARGGTCYGGAACATCACATCAAAACATGAACTTGACAATAWGAGACTAGACTAGTGGAGAGCACATGCACAAGGAGAAGGGATCAACAAAGTGAGGATCCGGAACACCACATCAAACATAACTTGACAATGAGAGACTAGACTAGTGGAAAGTATATGCACACGGAGAAGAGACTAACTAAGCAAAGATCCGGAACATAATCTTGACAAAGAGAGGCTAGACTATTGGAAGCACATGCACAAAGAGAACTGATCAGCAAAGTGAGGATCCGGAACACCACATCAAACATAAACTTGACAATGAGAGACTAGACTAGTGGAAAGTACATGCACAAGGAGAAGAGACTAACTAAGCAAAGATCTGGAACATGAACTTGACAAGGAGAGGCTAGACTAGTGAAAAAGCACATGCATATGAAGGGAAGATCAACCAGAACATCACTCCAAGTATGAACATGACAATGAGTGGCTAGACTAATGGAAAAGCACATGCATATGAAGGGAAGATCAACCGAAACACCACACCAAGTATGGACATGACAATGAGTGGTTAGACTAATGAAAAGCACATGCACATTAAGGGAAGATCATCCGGAACATTACACTAAGTAGGAACATGATATTGAGTGGCTTAGACTAACGAAAAGCACATGCACATGAAGGGAAAGATCATCCGGAACATCACATCAAGTAAAAACAAGACAAAGAGATGCTAGACTAATGAAAAGCATATGGACATGAAGGGAAGATCATCCGGAACATTACACCAAGTATGACCATGACAATGAGTGGCTAGACTAATGGAAAGCACATGCATATGAAGGGAAGTTCATCCGGATCCGGAACATCACACCAAGTGTGAACAAGACAAAGAGATGCTAGAGCTAGACGGAAAGCACATGCACAGAGAGGGAAGATCAACCGGAACATCACACCAAGTATAAATAAGACAAAGAGATGGTAGAGATAGATGGAAAGCACATGCACATAGAGGGAAGATCAACCGGAACATCACACCAAGTATGAACAAGACAAAGAGATGCTAGACTAATGAAAAGCACATGTATATGAACGGAAGATCAACCGGAACATTACACCAAGTATGAACAAGACAATGAGATGCTAGACTAATGAAAAAACACATGTACATGAAGGGAAGATCAACCGGAACATCACACCAAGTATGAGCATGTCAATGAGATGCTAGAACTAAATGGAAAGCACATGCACATAGAGGGAAGATCATCCGGAACATCACATGCTATTACGTGAGTAAAAACAAGAGTTTAAGTAGGCAAGATCACCAAAGTTGAATCAAAGGTCATCTATGAAAGAAGCGCTATACTACCTACTAGTGTGAGTGTGGAAAACACAAGTTTGGAGAGCCCAAATCACCAAGATTTTATTATGGATCACTCATGGGTGAAGCGCTACACTACCTACTAGTGCAAGTGTGAAAAACACAAGTTTGGAGAGTCCAAATCACCAAGATTGCATCAAGAAGCATCCATGTGTGAAGCACTACACTACCTACTAGTGTGAGTG